CTAACATCCATTGAATTTACCCCTGTATATCCACACATGATACGGTGTTTTCACATGGTAGATGCCCAAACATATAAATGCATGAATTCCAGGTACTGGGCTAAAAGCCTTAATTCAGTACCTGATTTAATCCTCTCAACAATTATGTCTTAGCTAGCCTTATTATCTCTATTTTATAATGAAGAAATTGAACTTCAGATGATTTAAACTACCATGCCCAAAGCCACAATTGTTAGTGGCAGAATGAGACTGGAATCCAGATCCATACTCTTAAGTGCTATACTGTGTAAAGAGAAGAGTGTGAGGATTTGTGTTGGTGTAGAATTTATTGCTGGGTATATTCTTCGTATTTAGACTGAAGAATGTAAGTCATTTGCATAAGTGTTATTGTGTTCAAGAAGCCAGGTTCCTGTGTGTGCCCTCAGTTAGCATCTGTCCCTCAGTTCCAGAAACAGTCTTACAGTGGTGTTTGTTCATCTCAAACGGTGTGACATGGGTACAATGGAGGAAGGGAGGCAGTTTCAGGGACCGGGGGATTTGGCCACCTTGCTTGCTGGGAACCGTTTCTCTTTTACTCTGCAATTACAGTATGCCTCTTCTGCTTTTAGAAATCCATCTCTGCTTTCTCATTTGCTTTTTCAGGGGGTAATTGAGATTCCACTATCTCCTGGATACTCTTATTAGGCAGGAAATACAGGCGAGAGAAAGTCATTTGGCATGAATTAGGCAGCAGAGAAAACCCTTGCCGAGTGAGAGTAACCTGTCACAACCTGGTTTTCTCTGGCCAAATGACTGGTCTTGTCTGGTAGTAATGCCATTACAACATTCCCATTCAAATCCCCATGACCCAGTAATTGTTTTGGGAGTGAGTGCAAAGCTATCAGACACCAACTACTATAATTAGAAAAGGGAAAAACAGACACTTACCAGAGCTAACGTCTTTAGGCTGGAGCATTTACAGCACTTTTTTTTTTTTTTTTAAAGTTAGGGAGCCTCTTTCTCAGTTTTGCTTCCTAAAACACAAACTGTACAGTTTTTGGGTTCTTGCATTCCAGTTTTTGTTACTGCTGTGCGTTCTCTTTCCTTTCTCCCCCTATTTTAATCGGAGTACAAATTGCTGTCAGCACACCGAGTTCATGTGCCAGCCACATTCAGAACAGGGTGTTCTGTGCTCTTCAAAACAAAATTGCTCTAGGGCAGTAAGAGAACAATAAGTCAGAGCTCCAGTTTAGTGATGTTTTGCAGGCAGAAGGGGCTCACTTGATGTGGTTACACTCGGATTGCACAGCTAAACTAGGATAATTTGGTTTGGTTTGACTTTGTGGGGTGTGGAGGACCCCCCTTCCTTTAAGTTATGTAGACTTTAAGAAGAGAAAATGTTGTCTCTTTTTAACTTGTTTATTTCTTTCTCTACCAAAAAAGCCGTAAGTGGAAGCATCCTGTATGTACTTTTATTCTCTTTGGGCACGTCATAGATCATTTATTTCCCGTAAATCATGTTGGTTGGGATTAGCAACAGACCTCCTGAGCCCTAGAGGCCGAGCTCCCAGTGAGTCATGATGGTTATTATTAAATATTTATTAAGTGAGTATTTGCACTAAGAGATGCAAGGTCAAAAGCAACCACAGGTCTTCCACAGCCAGAGCTGCCACGGTTGTTTTTGGTAGCAGTTATTGAGACGGTATGAAAAAGAATAACTGAATCTAGAAGAGCTAAGCATGTCTGCATCTATCACCTAGAGGGAGGGCCCTACTGTCGCAACTGCAGGCATTTCGGTGGCTCCAAGGTGGTATGTGAGTTCTTGTCAGCAGTCTGGTAGAACTTGTCACACCAGTGTTCCAGGTTTAGAAATCAGTTAACAGTGATAGTTTTTGCTGCTTGCAGATGTAAAGAATCAATGGGCTGTATTCACCCTGAGACTATTAATACCTCCTCTTGCTTTGACATTCCAAGTGTGTCAGTATTGAAAGGAGGTTTTATAAATACATATAAACATGTATACATGTATGTCAGTGTGTGTGTGTGTATGTATCTATTTAAGATTCTATGTTACTGTTGGTAGTACTTGTTCAGGTCCAATTTGAAAGAGTTAGATTTACCAGAAAAAATAAAAGTCCATATATAAGGTAGCAAGTATTTATAAGAGCTGTTGCAAAATTTTACCTTCTTACCAGGTGGCCACAAACATTGGCTCTGTCGTTTATTGTCTCTCTGAGAGAGATCAGCTGCAATAAATGTTGTTTTGCTGTCTTAATTATGCCTTTATTATAGTTTGGCTTGAACTTCTTTTCTTCAGTTATTTTTGCCAGCGTGTTTATTAGTAGCCAATTTTTTTTTTTTTAATATGATGGGTTAACACTTCTAAAGAACACTTCTGAAATTACTCTTATATAATTTTAATATCAAATACATGCGTAAAAGTGTAAAACTAGCCTAGGAAACTGACACACAGGCAGGAATCCTTGTCCGAGTCTCTGGATTTCCTGTTTTGAAAACATACTCAAAGTTGATCAACCAAAAGCCACAACGAATGTACCGATAGTTTCCTCCCCCACTAAATGTACTCTCCTCTAGGGAGGAAGATGATACTTCTAACAATAAGCCTCAGACAAAAAGACCTGTTAACTAGTTGTGAGCTGTTAGGATAGTAAATATTATTATTTGAGATATTCCACATAACATGGACTGAAGTTCACTTTGCTCAGCAAATTATTCTTCATGAAAAGTGTCATCTGTTAGTCTGAATTAAGTTTCTAGGGCAGTTTTTAAAATATTTAGGAATACAGACTTTTTAAGAACTCTCAACCCGTTTAGAAACACCAACTCTAGTAAAAATATCTTAAGCCTTAGACTCTCTGGAGAACCTCTCTACTATGCATGTATTTGAAAACAATAAAGTTGCATTTATTTTTTAAACATTTTCCAAGTCAGAAGAATTTTCAATTTGCTGCAAGGTACGTTTTATTTTATCTAGAGCATTCTAGAAGTGAGTGTAACAGAGGGAATCATCTGTGCTTATGAGTACAAAACATAGAAAAAAATGCCTATAAGCCATCTCCACCAAGAGAGCCAGCCTAGCCCTGAACCTTGTTTGGCTCAAGCTTCCTAGGCTTCATTCTATGTCTGTGATGGGGACCAACCAGGATGATGTTAATCCTAGTGAATTAGAAAAGGGTAGAGAGAGCTTCAAAGCATGAATGTTCAGGTGACATTTTGATCCCTAGTGTCTACACTACTGCTGTTTACTCTTCAAAGATTCTCTCATTCCCCAGGCCTGAGCTTAAAGGTAATCTGATCAAATGATTAACTATAGTAATTAGCTTTGAAGCTGTTTTCTGGCCTATATCAAGAATTATATTACTGGGTCATAGAATCATAGAATTTTAGAGCTCCAAGGGACCTTTGAGATCAGGTAGTTCAAAAGTAGAGTAAGTTGGAATTGAATTTGTATTTGGACAACAATAATTGTCTTACTGGACATGAAATGAGTATACCAGAACAAGCGATGTTTTTTAGTTTCTTTAAAGCAAGTTATTGATCTAAGTAGATCAGCTAGTCTTAGAAAAGAGGCATTTTAGGAAATCAGGCCATTACATTATAGAAGTAGGAATAGAAACTTTTGCGAAAGACAAATTATTGTCTTGCTTCGTGAGTGTTGTGCTAGCATACAAGCCATGCATTTTTCTTACCGAGTCAAAGAACTAAATGAAAAGGAATAAATATCCTTAATATTAAAAGTATTTGGACAGTTTCAGAGAACTGTTTATCCTAGAAAAAAAAGAGTCTAACTGATCAAGAAAAAAATATATCTGTCTACATTTTTCCTATTTTTGTCTTGAGATAAGATAAAAGTCCCTTATCTAACATGAAATTACCCTGAGAATGAGCTGAGTGAGTTTGAGTGGAGTGGGGCATTAGGCCCCAAGAAAATGACCACCTTATTTAACATTTGAGAGAGTACTAAGAAATTTGATTTGTGAAGGTTTAAGAAACTGCTGATTCCTTCACACTTAACGTATGTTACTTCTGCTAACAGATACAGCTAAGTTGCTTATTGATGATGTTGCCTTTGGATTTTCTATTTTTATTCTAATAAACTTTCAAATGAGATTAGGACTTTTTAAGAAGAAAGGGTTTCAGTATTCAGTTAAACTTAAATAATATTTATTATTGGGGAAATACCCACTCAATTGTTCCTTCACTCAAGCATCTGAAGCCAACATGCAGATATAGATAGAAGTTTTAAGTCATTATATACTTTATGTAAAATTTTGATATTCTGATAATTATCTATTAAATAATGTAGTATTTCTTGACCATATTTTAGTTGAGATAACCTATGTCATATAGTGTTGTTGTTGTTAGGTGCCATTGAGTCGGTTCCCACTCATAGCGACCTTATAGGACAGAGTAGAACTGCCCCATAGGGTTTCAGGGAGCTGCTGGTGGATTTGAACTGCCGACCTTTTGGTTAGCAGCCAAGCTCTTAACCACTACACCACCAGGACTCCCGTGTCATATAACCAAAAAAACCAAACCCATTGCCGTCGAGTCAATTCTGACTCATAGCGACCCTATAGAGCAGAGTAGAACTGCTCCATAGAGTTTCCAAGGAGCGCCCGGTGGATTTGAACTGCCAACCTTTTGTTTAGCAGCTGTAGCAGTTAACCACTACACCACCAGGTTTTCTACCATGTTATATAGTAAGCCTATATTAAACCTATGTTTCCAGTTTGTTTCATTAGCCGCTAAGCTATCTTAATTGGTATAGTTATCAGTAATGATAAGTTTAAACTTAAAACAGAAAGCAATATTGTTGTTCTTAAACTTTTAGAACTGGATTCACTGAGCTTCAACAGGACATACCAAGCCATGTCTCTTAATGAAATGACCAAGGGGAAATGCTATTCACTACATTGTCAGCCACTCATTTATCATTTCGCTGACTTAGGCAGTCCTAAGGAGCAGCTTTGTTTACTGTCCTGTCTCCTCTCCTTCAGTCCACCTGATAGGCCGCTGTGGTGGACGGCTGTTTGATTGCAGAGATGTGATATTTATTGTTGGCGAAGGAGAAGATCATGACATTCCAATTGGAATCGACAAAGCCCTTGAGAAGATGCAGCGGGAAGAACAATGTATTTTATATCTTGGACCACGGTAAGCCGCATGCCAGTTCAGTACACAGTGAAGTCGTCTGCAGAACTCGCATTTTCAACATTCAGTATTTTCAGTGAAGTTATTGCTAACAGTGGAGACAGTTAATTAAATCAGGCTACAGTTAGTCATCGAGTGAATTAATAGGTTTTACAGTCACAAAGGTTGCAAACTGTGAGCATGTTTACTTGACTGATGTGTGTTAAGAGTAGGAATGACAGGCAAGTTTTGCCTTTTTATTTGTTTTGCCTCCCATGTTGCCAAGACAGGCAGCTATTGGCCCATCTCACGTGGTTCTCTAGCCCTCTGTTCCTTTTTCTGTAAATTAGGCAGGAGGCAATAAAACATGTGGTGGTTGGGAGTAGAAGAATCATTTGGATGATTTACTGCTGCTTAAATTTGTGCCACCTGTTCTTATACAGAGTCCTTAAAAGAAGTGTATTCTTCCTGGATCTAAAGATGGCCGAAGTGACTCATTTGTGCCTAAATTTTTCTCATCAGAAGGGTATCCATTAGCACTTGCAAGCTTAGAACTATCAGACCCTCTCTTTATGAAAACATGTTTGGTATTATTTTTAGATCTAAAATTATACCATGAATCCAACCCTTCTGTCTTGAGAAATAGACCCGTGAGAGGAAGCAGGGTGTTTTGGTTTTGTTTGCATGAAAGTTCATCATCTTATCCATGATGGAGTTCAATCAGGATTTTGAGTTACTGGAAGTCTTAATGACCTGTACTTACCAATAGGTAATATTGTGCCTTTTGTACAGTCTTTTCCTTTTGTATAGCCTTTGTAGTAATCCAGTGCCTTACACTTGAGTCATAATCATATTTCTCAGATGATGTTTTAGCCATGTTTAAAATCCTTCCAAAATGCTCTACCTTGAACCTCTGTAAAGCCTTCACCAAGCCACCTTTTATATAATATCTTCTTTTTCTCTCCCCATTCCATCTTCCACTCTTACATTCTCCACTTCAATATGTTTTGTTTATGTATACTCTATATTTGAAGTTCATCCGTATGTGAACCTCTTTCTCTTTCTATAAGGAACTTTTTTTTTCCAAGTAGAGCATCAAGAAATCTATCTTCATATCCAAATAAACTCTAATTATTTTTAATATGGCATTCCAAAATTATAGTCATTCTAAACTCATACAAAGAGAATAGTATTTCTATGTTTAATGTATGTTTTTATATTTAAGCTCCTTGAAGATAAGTCCTATATACATTGTAAGTATGTAATATATGAATCAGGTCCTTACATTTTAACCTAGCTGACAAGACAACCATGAGGGTAGGTGCCTCAAGCTTAATGGAAAAGAGAATCAGAAATTACTCTGCTGCTGCCCCTCATTTGTTCTTATATTTATGGATGCAGATAGTTCCTTGCAGGTTTAAATTGTTATTGTCTCATTAGTGGTTAAAGGAGAATGTAAGAGTGGAAAACGGAATAGGGGAGAGAAAAAGAAGATATTATATAAAAGATGGCTCAGTGAAGGCTGTAGAGAGTTCAAGGTAGAGCATTTTGGAAAGATTTTAAAGAGGGCAATGGCATGGCTGAACCCTCCTATGCAACTTACCAGCTGTGTGTGCTTGGGTCCTCACTTAACTCTCCTGAGTCTCACTTTCCCCTTCTATAAAATGGAGCAGCAGTATCTACCTCATAAAGTTGTGGGGGACTAAGTAAGACAATGCATGTGAAGCATTTAGCAAAGTGTCTGACACAGATAAGCCCTCAGTGTGTTATTATTGTGATGACATTATCCTTCTCTTCCATTTTACCCTCAGACCACAAGAAATCCTGTTATAACATACAATAGATTTTTCAGATCTTTCTTGGGAAATTTTCAGTTATAAAAGTAGTCAACATGTTTTCCTAAGTTTCTAGGTATAGAAGTTTTTCATATGTTTTGTGGAAATAATTTAGCATAGTAAGAAAGGAGTAAGTTACTTTCTGTTTACAATTTTGGTTAGTATGTTAAGAAGTTATGTAAAGTTCCTGCTCTACAATATAAGATTCTCCACACAAGCACTGTGTAACATTATGCACAGATGCAGAAAATCCCTACACATTGAGCATGTTTTGAGTGCATCCAATGAACGTGCTTGTCTTATTCAGACTCCCACTTACCACAGAATGTTGCATCTGAGAGTGACTGTGAATATGGCTGTTGTAAATCAAGGCTCTGTATTACTCTTAGTGTTATTTTTATTTCCTTCTCCGAAAGATTTGCAATGCACACCTTCTCTTTGCCTCTCTGACTCTGACTCTGATGAGTCTTTCAAACTCATTCTCCTTGGCAGGATGTTTCCATTATAAGAAATTCATAAAAACGTCCAAAAGCAGCAGAAGTCACCAAGAACCCATTTTCTCTCACTCATCAGGACAGTATTTTCTCTTTTTATTGTTTTAAATACCATGACTGAGTAATCTTTTTCATTTTAGGTAAAGTATGGCTAGTTTTAACTTTTGTATTTTTCCTTTCCTTATATTTCTGTCTTGCACTGCCCCAAACAAAAAAAAAAACACAGGCTGCCAAGAGCCATAGTATCTAATTATGAGGCAGCATGGGTCAAAAAAACTACGCAATTTTCTGGGAACATACAGGGTCTGATTTAAATCCTTGCTTGCCACTACCTGTTTGTGTGACTCTCAGGAAGCTCTTCTCTCTGAGCCTCAGTTTCTTCATCTCTAAAAAGGAAGTAGTTGGTACGGACTTATGGTACAAGTGCTTCTTGTATGTCCATAAAGGCTTAATGGTCATTAATAGTCATTACTGTTTGTATCTCTACTGTCTGGAGGCAACTCTTAGTTCAAGGACATTTATACTGTAGCCCAGCTTGTCTTTTGGTTAAGTCCCAGAATTCCATTTGTGGTGTTTTATTTTTCAGTCAGATGAATTTGTGTGCCCTGGTCCTTGCCCAGGCTGATCTAGCATAAATCATAGAACTTTCTATATAATATGGAAGTTGGGTTAGATGCTCCCAGTACAGTTTGGGCGGGCTTATGCCTGCCCCAGGATGATGTGCTCTGCATACATCTGGACAGAATTTCTTCCAGGAGAGATTTTAGAAACAATGCCCTTCTTCAGTCTTCTTTAATCCCATTGATAACCAGGATGCTTTGGTGTCTCCCTCTGTCCAACCCCCACGCTATCACTGCCACTGCCACCCTGCCACCGTTCCACTAAGGTGGGATCTCTCATCTTCAGCACTATTGATATATTAGAAGAACCAAACCAGTTGCTGTTGGTCGATTCATTGATATATTAGGCCAGATAATTCTTTATTGTGGGGCTGTCCTGTGCATTGTCGGATGTTTAGCAGTAGCCCTGGCCTCTACTCACTAGATGCCTGCCATGATAATCAAAAATGTCTCTAGACACTGCCAGATGTCCCTGGAGGAATGGGACGCAAAGTACTCTGGTTGAGAACCACTGGTCTAAAGCATGTGCCCAAATCATCTGTTGCATTTCTGTCTACTTAGCACAGGGCTCCAAGTATAACTTGCTCTCAGTAAACACGTGCTTAATAAGGACTCATCTACCTACCTTAGTTCCCAATGGTTAAGGAATGCTCTTTATTTACCAGGTGGGCAGAAACAAAGTAGGAGATACATAGACTTAACAGCTCAAAGTAGAAAACTAGTTACCACTGCCTAAAACTGGCCACTGGTAATTATGTCCTCTTTCTTTTATTTCCTTGCTGAAGATACCCTTAGCCTTGCTATTAAAACCACCACACCCCATTCCTACCAGCTCTCATTGTATTTCTATGTCTCTCTCTGGCTCCAGCTTACATTTTCTTGTGTACCAGTGGAGGTGAGTGAGTAAGCATTTTGTTCCTGGAAAATTCAGGCAAGGGGTAAAGACTGGTGCAAGCAACAAGATATGAGTGTTCGTGTTCCCACTCTGGTCTTTTCACCCCAGAGAAAATTGGTAGTATTGGCATCAATCTGGTTTTGACATCTTTTCAACTTATAACCTGAAAGTTTGGGAAAGAGAAAAAGGAAGACATGTATGTCCCAAGTTTTTTATAATACCATTTCCTGTATTAAAGAGTATTTTGGATTGAAATGAATGGGAACAGAAAATATTCCAGTGAACATTACTGTCTGCTGGTCATTGTTCTAGATGCTGGGAAACCATTAACAAGACAGACAAAACTCTACTAGAGCATCCATTCTAGTACATGTATGCTCCTTGAGTGCATTTAACTTGTTAAATATCTTCAATAGTCTAAGCATTTATATATTCCTAGTTATTTTATTCCGTAGGTTTTGGCTGAAAGGTGTAGTGTTTTACAGTGTGATAGCTACAGAGCTATAAGAAGAGTATTTCTCTTGATGAGGTGTTGGAGTTTGCTATGACTGTCATTTTTTATTATGTATTTGTTGTATCATTTATGTTTTCTAATGTGCTTTTTAAAGATCTTGGAGAAATACTGTGAGAACATATTTTTTCTCTGATGTGTAAGCCCTTCCCCTGTTTGTCTGATTGCAAGTGCTACCACTAGAAAGTGACAGTACTTTAAAATTAAAACCTTATTAAAATATACCTCTAATGAACACTGTCATAACAGTTACAGAGGCTGTGTCTTTTTCTGTCCTCCCTGCTAATAAAACCTAGGGGAAAAAGTTCAAATAGCCAAATAATGGCCATTTATATATATATATATATATATAAATATATATAATACACACACACACACATATACATATAGGTAAAGAAGTAGATATAAAATCAAGCAGACAAAAAGGCAATAACATTTAAAATCACATTAAGCAAGCTGTCCCAAGGAGCCCAGGTGTTGCATTGCATATGAATGTGGAGGAGAAAGGAAAGCTAAAACGAGCCTAGTTTCCAAAAAAAAAAAGCCAAAATTGTAGCAGTGATGCTTGACACTTCTGATCAACATCTGGTTTGTCTTCAGGGTCTCTGACCTGTGATAGATCAAAGGATAGCTCTGTGCCAATATGAAGCCCCAGAATACTGAAGGAAGTGCCTGGAAATACACCCATTCTTTTAAAGTTTTATTTTTTACTCTCCATTTCAGATATGGTTTTGGAGAGGCAGGCAAGCCTAAATTTGGCATTGAACCTAATGCTGAGCTTATATATGAAGTTACACTTAAGAGCTTCGAAAAGGTGAGAAAATACCAACTTCTCTGAAATCACGGTAGATTTCTACTCCACCCACTTCCTATAAATCAGTATCTTACGTTACTAGGTGTTATGGATAGACAATGTTTATTTGTATGTTGTGCTTTTCATCATCAAATTTGTCTGTTGTCTCTGTCACTGCTAGAGTATGGGACAACTGATGCAGCACAGCTGATACGCAACTAAAGAGCTCTGTGTTCTTATTTTGTTCCTGTGTGTCAGCCTTTTTTTTTAACTTTTTGGGTAGAATCCAAGACTTGTTCCCTTATTTGTTCCTAGACTTGATCTTTTTGTACTTTTTTTTTTTCCTGAGTTGAGGACAGAAAGGTTCGTGATCTGCCAAGCAGCTTCTTGGGGAGGGCGGGGTGCAGTTTTTCGGTGCTGAACAGATTGTCCCCTTTATAGAAGTCATGAAGTGGCCTTCACTGTAGCTCCAAGTTATTATCTAATATGCAAGACCTCGTGGGCCACCAGGCTCTGTGTAAAGGACACAGGAGACAAACCTGCTAGCCCTAGGCCTTTTCTTTACATACCTGTCCAAATGGAGAAAAGAGAGAGTTGCCAATTGCCTTGGGTTCTAGAAACATTATGCCTAATTGAGCATATTTCCATCTCAGGCCCGCCTCTGGAGGCTCCCAGCAGCGGTTTAACTGGAGAAGCACAAAGCATATGCCTGAGCTAGGTATGCTGTCGTCTTCAGCTAAATCCCCCCTTGCATCACCAAAGCCCCACCTTCCTGGAGCCCCTCAAGGACTGCATTTTGTATTCCTTTTTTTATTCCCTCACAGTGCTTACATGCATTTTCTGTACATTAAGCTTTTGACTGGAAACATGACCGCTACTGTTTTATTAGACTCAGAAATGGAATCATTGTCCTGTGGACCTGAGAAAGTGAGGGAAGGACTGCTTTGGGATTACCCCCAACAGTGATGTTGCTAATCACACACACCTCATGTTTCCCAAAACAAATATATGCTCTTGACATGTCATTGCTGAAGGCCTACTAGCTCAACACTGATCCTCTAATGCTGTCTTCATAGCTCACAGTTTTGTTTTTTTTTTAAATTATTGTTAAGGAAAGAGAAAATAATCATTGACATACAGTTACTTAGACCTTTGGTTTCCCTATTTCCATTTTTATAAAGTGACTCTCTGTCCCTTCCCAGCCATGGCCAGTGGACACTGCTTATTGATGAGCATTCTCACTGTGGTGTGCCATGAGCCTCCTCTCTGTCATCGTGCTAAGAACATATTCCAACCCCGTTTGGTGTACTTGAAACTGTGTGAAGGTGTGTGATGTTGTTGGGGCCAATGAGATTTAATTTGCTGCCTTGTAGTATTAAGAATATATTTATACTCCATAAAGATTGAAGCCAATATGAAAAATGCAAAGGGCTCTTGTTACTCAGTTTTTAGATAATTAAGCTAAATTGTTAGGGAGCCACATGGGTTGCCAGAAAGACTAGTAACTCTCTCTTTATTCCTTTGAAAAAGAAAGGAAGGAAAGAAGGATGGAAAGGCGAAGAAAGAAAAGGGCATGACACAAGAAATGTACAACTAATTATCTTTTGAATAGAAAGAATTTTAGTTACCCACTTAAGCTTCATAATCCAGACACAGTAAATACCACTGACCATGCCCATTGTTACTTTTTAAAGGATCCCAGGTTGTTTTGCTGACTCTTTCTGACCCTTCTAACTCCATCTGATCATGTGGAAAGTGTAGTTGGCTCTGGATTTATATCTATAATGGTAGAGACAGAGGAATGATACACAAAATAAAAACTAGCGGGCAATAATGAAATCATTTATTAATGGCCCTAAAGTGATGTTTCTGCATCAGCTTTACTCTTCTAATTATGTTGTACTTGAAATTCCCCACATACACATCTGCAAGTTAGTACAGTTAGGAGACCTTAGTATATCTGGTTGTTTTGGGGTGGAAAGACAACTTCATGAACTGGAATTTTGAAAATTCTGCATAAATATACAACTGTGATTTGACTGTAATAGTGTTCTCATTTGAGAGTTGAAAAACTGAGGCTTGAGAGAAACAGCTTGCTAAAACTATACTAGCAGTTTAGTGGAGAGATTTGCAAGAGGAAAATAAGGGGCCCTAGGTTTCATTATATGGCCTCACCTCGTAATTCTAAAGACACGCTCTTTAACAGTGCTCAACAGTTTATGTTCCTTACTAAGATTTTACCTGCTCCTCTCACTTGAACAACAGCTTTGTTGTCACGGAAAGTGGGTTCTTGAAACAATATAAAGAGCACTAGTCTCTCAGTGAATTAGCAATGGCACACGATTTTAAAAGCCAGCATGTTTTGAGGTGGGGTTATCTTCTAAAAGTAGCAACTGTTTGTTCTTAAGGACATCAGCTGATGCTTTTCCTTCTCTATTAATCTAACCCATTGTCACAAATTTACACACAGGCCAAAGAATCCTGGGAGATGGATACCAAAGAAAAATTGGAGCAGGCTGCCATTGTCAAAGAGAAGGGAACCGTATACTTCAAGGTGTGTTAGTCCCTGTACAATCCTTTCCATTTCAAAGAATTTACTCAAGTGTCAGTGAATTGCGCTGATATTCCCTACTCTAAATTCTATCAATACCCTTCTTGGTAAGAATAAACCTGAATTTTTACAAGTCTGTCATCTCAGTATAAGAAATGGTAGGAAAGAACGAATTAATGTGACTAACAACAACACAAATACCTCTTTTACATATTCTGCACTAGATTGTAACCTCCCATTAAAGGGAGACACCCACCACTGTATCCCTCAAGGCCTATGGCATCTTGCTTGGTACATAGCTGGCACTCAGCAAGTGTTTGTGGAGTGAAAGAATGAATAGAATAATTGTTAGCAAGTAATAGAATTCACTGGGGTAGGTTTCATATCATTTTCCTGTCCACACTGTCTTGGTGAAATCACTGAGGCACATGACAAGAGGAAAGAGAACATGCCCAATTTCAAAAGAACCTGACAAGAGGAGAGTATTAATTTCTAATGGCCAAGATGATCCTTGCCACACATGCTTTTGTGAGGAATCCTCAGAAAACCCTCAGAAATACTCATCGTAGATTGCTTCTCTGAAACCCTATTTTGTAGCATCTAGGAATATATTTTCTCACTTAGATCTTAAACCCTCATGTGTAAGGAAAAAAGAAATAGCACTTTGTTCAGTTCTTATCAGTGCTGTACCCTTCGCTTCCCGCCCCCAAATATGTGCTTTTTTATTCTTGTCAAGCAGGAAAGGCTTAGTGAGGAGGAGAGTTAGAGAAAGGAAAGTTTTGTCAGGGTTGCTTTCTTTCTTTCTTTTCCCACTGCAGTTCATGATCAGAAATTAGATGATGTTTTTCAACAGTATAAAGCAGTGATGCATAAATATACTTCCAGTCTTCACAGAGCATCTGCTATAAGACATGCTGTTGCACTTGCAGCCTTATCTGAAGGGAGGGGAGGCAATATATTAACCCAAATGAAAAAACTGGAGGATTAGGAAAGAATGTATAATCAGCACAAAATTAACACAGCCAGAGGGCAACGTGATGGCTATTGTTTTTGAAACTTTGAGCTGAGACCCATTATCGGGTGGTGAAATCATTTTAGTGGAAGTGTATTGTGTTACATAGTAGGGTTAAATTTTATTTCATAAAACTTTTGTTCAGAGTGTGTGAATGTGTAGTGGATCATAATTTAAATTTAGTATTTCTTACTATAGGTGTGGTCAAACAAGTTTGAAATCCATTGATATAGATAATAACGTATTTTTTATATATTTTTATTTATAGTTACTTATTATAGGGTTGCTATGAGTCAGAATCGACTCGAAGGCAGCAGGTTTTTTGATTTTTATTATAGCTGATCAAATAATGCATGGCTCACCAGAAAGCACTGGGATGTGATGGAATGAGCTCTGAATTGAGAAACTGGGCTCTGTGGCGTTCCAAATGATTTAAAGTCATTTAAGGTCCAGAGAGCTTATTTTTTCATGTGAAAAGTGAGGGAGTTAGGCTAGATGATTCCCAAGTTTCTTTCCAGCCCTAAAATTCTGTCAGTTTCTAAACTCTTGAGAGTAAGTTTGATTTTTTTAAGTTTTAAAAAAAATTCTAGTGGAGGTGTACTGGATACTTCTAAAGTATTCAACTAAGATTCCGAGTGGGTTGTTTGTATATCCACACCAGGTGTACACTACAATACAATGAAAATGTTCTGTAAAATCCCTTAACACCGTAAGTCTTGAATTGTGTTTCCTATATTCGTCTTCAACTATATATATTTCCCTGAACTGCTAAATGGAATATTAATTGTTTGGGGGGTTTGAGGCTTTTGGCATTTGACTAGAATTATATTAACTCAGTGTAGTAAGGCAGCTCAGCTATTCAGAAGCTCTAATTGGTTGCTGAAGACACAGAACTTTGGAGAACATTATTGGAAACGAAATAATGTCACGAAGCCGTGTGTCATACAACTGTGTCCTGGATGTATACAGAGAGATAGCCAGAATTAAGTGATCAGTAGTAGAAGGCAGTTCATAAGTGTCTGTACGATTACTTAACTTTATTGCTTGTTAGCCTCACAACTGCAACAGTGATTTGTGTATTTCATAATATTAGGAACCTTCTTAAAAGTACTGATCTTTGGATAAAATCTAGGTTAGCAGTCACACATATGGAGCAAATTATTTTTAACATGTAATTTGATAGAAAAAATCTTTCAAAACTTTAGTCCATTGGGAAAAAATTAATGAAAGGTTCAAAACCACTAATCTAAAACTTTTCTCCCAGAATCTCTCTGAACATTTTGTACTATTAAAAACTTCCCTGGAGGCACCTTCATAATTATAGGTAAAAGATCCCGGCACTGATCTTAGTTTTCACTGTAAGACTTCAAAATGGTTGGTAGGTAGTTCCCTGAACACATTCCCTTTTCAGATTTCAGGGCAGGTTTCAATCTGCCACAGGGCCCTCCCAGGCCTCATCTTTCCAGGGTGTTTGACTTGGCACCTTGAACATATGCACGGAGTCCAGATGTGTGTGTGTGTGTGGGGGGGGGGAATGCAAATCTATGTTTCATGCCAGCTACACATTGGAGCTCCATTTCCTTTGACCTGACAATGTGGTTTACACTTAAATGGTTAAATCTCTCCTCTTGTTGCTGTTTGCCACTGAGTGGATTCCAACTCATAGCCAACCCTATAGGACACAGTAGAACTGCCCATAGGGTTTCCTAGGAGCAGATCACCAGGTCTTTTCTCCTGCTGCGGGTGGGTTTGAACCTCCAACCTTTTGGTTAGCAGCTGAGCGCTTTAACCATTGTGCCACCAGGGCTCTTTATCTCTCCTCTCAGTGATGGTGAATTATATTCAGCTTTTGAACAGGAATGATTTTGCTCTTTAGACTGTAAAATCCTCATTTCGGCCTCTGAACACTAACATGAAGAAAGGTGGGAAAGGGCTCTCTTGGTTTGGTTGTGAAAATAATTATTAAGCACAGATAAGAACATGATATTATGCTGGACATTGCGCGAGCCAGTCAAGGAGATGCGAGTTTTGCGCTCATAGCTGACAGTATTCTGCAGGACAAGAGCATTCATTGCCACACCTGGTTGGTGTTTTTCTTTTCTGACTTGGAGGAAGGCTGAGGACACGGCTGAGCTTTCCTTCATGATATGGAGTTTTTGCGCCCCCTTGTGGTCCTCTTGGGAAGAAAGCATTCTGTTCTTACCCCTAACCTGTTGCTGTTGAGTTGATTTCAACTCATAGCCACCCTATAGGACAGAGCAGAACTGCTCCATAGGGTTTCCAAGGCTGTAAATCTTTATAGGAGCAGACTGCCACATCTTTCACCTATGGAACGGCTGGTGAGTTCGAACCACCGGTCTTTCAGTTACCAGCTCAGCACTTAACCACTGTGCCACCAGGGCTCCTGTTCTTACTCCTAAGACCCTAAATAACCACTGAGCCGTTTTCAGACAAACCAGGCTTTGCTATGTTTTGACCACCTTTGCTGGACCAAGATACTAGTAATAAGATTTAGAAACAGGTCATCTGTGACACTGGTTTAGGTTTAAAAAACCTCGTGAGAACAGAGTCCACCATACCTTTTTTCTCTTTCCTTCGTTCTTTTGGTATAGGGTTTTTCAACCCTTACAGTATTGACATTTGGGGCCAGATAATTCTGTGGCCTGTCCTGTGAATCGAAGGATGTTTAGCAGCATCCCTAGCCTCTACCCACTTGATGCGAATAGCACACCCACCTCCCCCAAATTGTAACAACCAAAAATTTCTCCAAACATTGCCAAATTCCCCAGGGGAGCAAAATCACCACTATTTGAGAACTACTGTTTTAGTACACCAGAAGCAGGAATATTACAAAGCAAGGACTTTTGCTCACTGGAAAATGATGTCTGAATAAAATGCTATTAGATAGATAGATGAATGAGCTTTCAAAAAGTTAAAATACTTTACCGTGTAAGGGAACTATTATGAAGTCTTATTTTTTTAAGAAACCATAGCCTTACCATTCTGATTATTCAGAACCTACCGAGGTGACAAGGTCTGGGTCTTTGTCCTCCCTGGCTTTTCTTTTTCTTTTCCTAAAACAATATATTAGAAAATAATCAGAAAATTTAATAGGTATATTAAACATGAAGGAGGAGAGAGGAAGAACAAACTAGGTAGGAGAGGGAGAATGCCTGTCTATGTCACCTAATCTAAATGAAACGACCTTTCATTGCTACCCACACCTCCATGTCTACTCTCAATGATAGAAAAAGTACTTCTTATTTGCTTTGATTCCAGTTATATTCCTTTGACCTTAATATTTATCCAGCAGACCTTTATTAAGTGCCTTTGTGTGCTAAACCCTGTATATTCCAAAAGGGTCATATTTTCCGTCCTCAAAGAGCTCAAAGTCCAGTGGGAGAAAAGGCAGTGACAGAGAGAAAATGCCAAACTCTGACACTGGTGAGGTCTTTCTTGTTATTTTGTAATCCCCAAAAAAGGAGTGGTAGGCCTAAGGCTATGACAAAAATATAAGTATTATATAATTTCCTCAAGAATCTCAGCATTTATTATGAAATGGTCTGGTTTCTATTCTTAAATTCCTGAGGCAGAAAGGGTAATAAACTCATTTTTGGTGCCCTTTTCCTCCATAGCACCTCAGAATCCTTTTGCACTGCCTTCCTACAGCAGGACTGGTAAGCCCTATAAGTCTTCCCGTCCCTAAACAAGTGATTGGAGAAGTGGAAGATGGGGGTGAGGGGTGGGAGGGTGTAGTGTCGTCCTGATTCCGATGCAGACCCCCCAGTTGGAGCAAGACTACCTCATCCTCATCACCAGAAAACAGATACTAGGGCTTTTTTCCTGCAGGCAGAGCTCATTTCTTACGCCAGCTACTTGAAGTCCTTTACAACAGGAATACTCTCTTAGATCTCTGATTTTTCTCTTTTTACTTAAAGTCATTGGATGGGGGGTGCACATGGGGAGACATCACTCTACCCTGAGATGTCTTCGTGGCTTTGACTGTGGTAAATCCTAGTGTCATTGGTCAAACACTGAGCTTAC